TTTTTTTTTTTTAAGATTGATAACTGAAAGACTTTCAGAAAAGAGGAAGCTTGCCCAAATTCACTTAATAGCAGGATCCATACCAGAACCCAACAGGTCTCTTTATTTGTAATCCAACATTATTTCTAGAATATGACACTGCTTCTTATCAGTAGCAACAACAGCAGTGCCATACTAAAAATAATGCTAATCTTACCACTACCACTAATTTTTTTTTTTTACCACTACCACTAATTCAAGATTGCTTTAGCTATTTGTGGTCTCCTGTGCCTTCTTATGAATTTCAGCATCATTTTTTCCAGATCTGAGAATATTTTGGTATTTTGATTGATATCACATTGAATCTATAAATTGTTTTTGGGAGAATGGACATTTTGATGATATTGATTCTTCCAATCCATGAACATGGAAGACTTTTCCATTTTTTGGTATCCTCTTCTATTTCTTTAGGTTTTTTAATTCTCACTGTAGAGATCTTTGACATCCTTGGTTAAGTTTATTCCAAGGTATTTGATTGTTTTTGTAGCTATTGTGAATGGGATTGATCTTAGAAGTTCTTTCTCAGCCGTGGCACCACTACCACTAATACTAATGCTACAGTTCGCTGATATTTTATTATGTTCCAGGCATAGTACCACACACATTTATGATACCCACGTAATAAAGCACCTACTGTGTACAATGCTTTAATCTCAAGAAGGTTGAACCATTACTTCTGATATCTGCCTCCCTCAAAAGAGGATGAAATAACAAAACCCAGTGCACATAGAAAACACAGCCACCCTCATCATTTATTCCACGTATTTCCATGGGTATGGAAAAAGGAAATCAAATCTAGCAAGTGGCTAACTTGCAGCTTAGTCACTGGAGCCAGCCTTTTGTTCTCCATAGCCTTTCAGAAACTGTGTCATGAGAAAGACAGTCTCCCGACATTACCCCCTTTTCCTTCCAAATCCACCACTTGATGAAAAATCTAACAGTGTAACATGGACGGAGTTCACAGGTCGGGTCCCCGCCAGCACACCAGCCCCTTTGGAATGCCATGTTAAATGGGGTGAAGGGGAGGGAGTGACACCAGTTCAACCCCCTATACTTCTTTCAACCCAAGACTCCAAATGCCATTTACCTGAGCTGATTAGACACGTCTGTTTCCTTTCTTAGGCAGCTGCTGAGACCTGTTGAGTTTTCTCTCAGCCTGCCAGGAAGTGCACGTAGTCCTGAGGATCTTTAGGTTTACTTTAAGTACAAGAACTATTTTGTTTCTGGAATTCAGGAGACTTCTTAAACGTCTAGTCTTTTCTTCCCCTAAACACATTTCACTGTCTTTTCTCCATTCCCTCTTTATGATCGCTTCATCATTTTCCTTACAAAGATTTCCTTTACCGTATTTTCCTTTACCCTCTGCTCTGTTTGTGTGGAACGTTCTCCTGTCAATTCTATTTGTCTGTATTTCCATTTCTGTCTATGGTCATGCTTGACATCACAGACAAGCTCCTGAAATGCTGTGTGTAAACAAATCACATCTGAAACAAATTAGAGTCCTGCCCAATCCTAACCCATGAATCATTTGTTTGGTGTGCTATAACAAACTGAACAAGCATCCCTCCAACACAACAATGAAAAAGAAAGAAAACAGAAACAAGACATGGATGGCATCTTAAAACAAAGCATTTTCAAAAATAACAACTGACATTATTTGCTGGAAGCCTTTTTTTGCTTTAGATCCCACAAGCCTACAACGTTCATTGCACTTGTTCAGTAACATTTTAAAAATCCAGCCTTCTCCCTCCTATTCTCTGCATCCTTCTAGAATTATAGATAAAATAAAGCAATCTTGATTGGGAAGGAAACTGTACTGAAAGAACGTAGTAGATGGGGCTGCAGGACCTTATAACTCTGTCATCGTGACAAGTAACTTCATATTTCAAATCCTCTTTTCCTTGCTATAAAAATGGCAATCAACATTTGTGGAGATAATTCAGTGTCTTTCTCTAACTTTTGTCTTTTAGTTTCTTGGAAAGGTCTTTTGATATCCCCCATCTTAAAGTCTCTGTTTGAGGTCACTGGCATCAGTATGGGGTCGTCCTTTTGGATGTTATGTAACGTGACATCCTGGCTAGTTCGCCTTACCCTGTAGCATCAAGCCCAGGTCTGTTCATAAACAGCTATGAGGCACTAAAAATACTAAGACACATTACAATTACATTGTTTTGAGAGTTTTCCAGGCATTTCACAATTATTTTAAGATTATTGTAGGCACATTTGGGCAGGGCAGGGAGGGTGCGGTAGAAAGAACTCAGACTAATGATCTTGTTTCTCAAGGTTTCTTACTTCAACTAAGAGTGCAGCGGAAGTCTGCCACATCTCATTATCTCTACTTGATGTTTTATTTAATGTAACCTTTTCTTATACACCATTGAGAAACAGACATTAATTAAGATTCTAATCTTAACCTTCTTTGATAGGCTTTCTCCTAGCAATTTACCACAATAAACAAGATAGTTGTTAATGTCTGGTCCATTACATTGATATTAGATATTAAATAAGTATTCTCTGACCTACAGGTGGAGAAATCTTCAAGTTGACCAAGACAACACAGAAGACCAGAATTAAATCCAGAGGTAGATTAGAACTGTATTGCACATTTCCTTGCTCATTCCATGATCATCCGGGAAATAAAACTCTGCTTTTGATGCTCTGTCCATCTAACAGGCTTTCCCTCTCCGTCTGTCTCTTTGAATTCTGTGCTAAAAAGCTTGCACTACTCATTGCTCTCAGGTAGAAGCCACAGAGTAGCCAACCCAAAGGTGAACCGAACCCGGTACCCCGTCATCCCAGCCCAAGCTTCTGAAAGAGCCTCCTAAGCAACTGAGCTAGTAACGCAATGAGCAGTAACCTGGGCTAGGACACCCAAGTCACAGCTCTGTCAGTCTAGCTGCGGGGTCTGTGATAAATCACTTAACCACCCACCTTCTTCATCTGGTGAAATGCGAATAAAAATATGAGGGCTCAATGAGGAACTCTTACCACAGTGTCTGGGATATAGAGCCCAGTAAATGTCTCCTGTTGTTATTATTTAAAGAAAAAGGACAAAAGCACTTACTGTTCAAGAACATTGTCAGAATTAAGCTTGATGACCTTGCCTCTCTGCTCATTCATCTGGCTCACCACTGAAAGACTAATTTGATTAAAACTAGATCCCACGGGGCCGGCGCTGTGGCACAGGGGGAAACGCTACCACCTCCAGTGCCAGCATCCCCAAATGGGTGCCAGTTAGAGTCCTGGCTGCTCCACTTCTGATCCAGCTCTCTGCCGTGGTCTGGGAAAGCAGTAGAAGATGGTCCAAGTCCTTGGGACCCTGCACCCCTGAGGAAGCTCCTGGCTTCTGGCTTTGGATTGGCACAGCTCTAGCTATTGTGGCCATCTGAGGCATGAACCAGCAGATGGAAGACTTCTCTCTTTCTCTGCCTCTCTGTAACTCTGCCTTTCAAATAAACAAGTAAATCTTTAAAACACACACACACACACACAAAACTAGACCCCACACTTCCTGACTCCTTGGCACTTACAATTTATAACACACCACGTGTTCTCATAATTCTTAACTCTTCAAGCAATTTTGGCTTCTTGAGGATAGGAATGGGGTCTTAGACTTTTTATATCCACGGTAGTGTACATCAAATGTATTGACTGTATTTGTATTTATTTTTAAATTGGTACCACTAGCAAAGGGCACTAGAAACTTCCAAGAGCAAAGAGATTTATACAAGACTCCTTTTGGTTTTCTTTTCAGGTTAGTTCTACAAACTTAAATGTCGAAGTTGCTAGAGAACAAAGCATTTTTGCAGTCATACAAAAATAAATCCACAGTTCAGAAATGCTGCATCATAGCTACTAAGAAGATTCTTCTCGCTTAATAATCATACACACACTTTTCACACTGACATCCATTCTAATAAGAGTCAGAGTGTCAAATCTCTGTTTGGAAATTTACCAGCCTCTACAATGTTCAAGAAACTCCACACTTGGAGAAGAGCGTACTGCAGCCCCTTTTGGAGCCTGCTGTGCCCAACAGAGGGATAGTAATGAATTGCGGATTTCACGTTAAAATGGGGAGCAAGGGATCAGCTCTTAGACACTGAAGTCCTTTAAGTGACCTGCTGGAAGGAATGAGAAGCTAATGTTTGTTTGCTCAGGTGAAGTGGATATAACGTTACAGAGCAAAGCAGGGCTTGTAGCCAGTAACCTGTTACACCATGTGTGAAATGTGCAAGTTTTCACTGACTTCTTAAAGAACTATATATGAGAAAAGATATTCCCCAAAGCCAAGTTCACAGTAGGTACTCAACAAACATTTTCATCTACACAGGGCACAAACACAGCAGACCAAGACAACAAACCGGAATTTAAAAAATGGAGGAAGACTAATTTTGCCCGTTCTTTAGGCAAACCAGGGAAAGTCTGTCTGCTTTTGGATTACTGTGGGCACGACCTGGATCTAACTGTGCAGACACATAACTGCTTACAATACTCATACTTAGTGGCCCCCAACAAGGGGAGAAGGATCTCACATTTCACAGAAGAGAATCGCTCACACGAGAAAACAGAAGACAGAGGACGGGCCTCAGCGTTCGCAGACGAAGAAGACATTTCACAGATGAGAAAACTGAGGCTGGCCAGTTGGCTTGCACCTGCCAGCATCCCGCCAGCAACTGTCCAGCCAGGGACTCAGGGTCAGTCTCCAGGGACACCCACCCACCGCTCTGCACCCAGCCCCAGGGAACACCTCAGAGACTCAGGTTGAGCTGCCCCGCCACACCGTCCGGCCACGACCCCAACTGAGCACCCTCAAGTGAACGAACCTCGGTAGCACTGGGAAGAGTGAGGCAGGAAAGCGCGAGCCTTGGCCCAGCTTGGCCCGTGGCCCAGGGTCCCGGAGCCGCCGGTCACTCACCGCGCGGGCAGCCCCCGGCGCGCTGGGCCACACGTGTCTCACTCACCGCGGGTGCCCGGTGCCGGCGCCCGCCGATCCGCCTCCCGCGCCCGCCGCGTCCGCCGCCAGCCCCGGGAGTAGGCGCTCTGGGGGCCCGGCCGGGGTGCGCGGGGACTCGGGGCCGGGTCAGCGCCGGTGGTTTCCACTCGGCGGTGGCGGCGGGCCTGGGGGGGTGGAGGGCGTGGCTTCTGCCCGCAGCGGGCAGTCCTGTGTGGGCGCGAACCAGGGTCTTCACACCTCAGGTTCCCCTCTCACCCTGCACGCCACGCCCGGGCGCCGGCCGACTGAGTTGCAGAGCCGACGGCGACCGGAGGGGAGGCGCGCGGCCGCGCTAGGCTTTCGGCCCCCAATCCCGCGACCCGGCACTTGGCTTCCTCCGGCGTCCGGCGGCCCGGCTCTTAGCACCCCCTAGCGCCGCGGGCTCCCGGGTGGACCCCGGGCACGACCCCTCGCCTCCCTCGGAACCAGGATCTGCTGTTGGAAGAGGAAGACAGACGGGTCCCGCTCGTAGCTGGCCAGACCCCGGCCTTCGAGGGTCCCGCGTTACCGGCGGGGTGTGGGAGAAGAAGGAAAACTGCCCTTTATGGCTGTCGTTCAGGGAATCTGGCATCCCATGCCTCATGTGTCGGGAAGAAATGGAAAGAAGTGCCCCGCAACGATGACACAGGCTTCCTCACCCGCTCAGAATCTGCTGGATTCCAGTTCTAGTTCTTGAAACTAAACGCTTTTAAGGTTTACTTTGGGCATATCTTCATCAGGTATTATTAGTAGTATTAGTAGTAGTACACCCAAAAAGAAACAGGAAACAAAATAAATGGGCGCAAATACACCTCAGACGTGTTCATGTGGAACGTGTGCGTGTTCATGTTCCTGTTCCTGTTCATGTTTGTTTGTTTTTTTTAAACATTTGATGCTTTTGTAACCTCTAGAGATGATCCATTTTCATAAGTACCACTATGAATGTATATATTTTAACACATTTTATGTGTCTCGTCCTTTTGCAATCATTCTTATTATTACTGAAAATGGGCCATCTTTGGCAACTGAATTTCCCATTAAATTTGTTGTCACCCTTTGACATGACCCCAGGATGTGGTGGCTTCCTTGTTTTCTAGTGTAACCAGGTGTTCTAGGTTCAGTTCTACTCCAGATGTAGAATCAGCCATTCTGAGAGGAGCTGTTTCCTTTTGGTGGGGAATGGCATTAAAGATCCCAGTCTGGCAACGGAGGTCTTCATTGCTACTGGGCTGGTCTTGCTGTGGTCTTGCTGGGCTGGTCTTTCCCTTGGACAAAGCTAGACATAGCTTATGGAAATGAGAGACATTCTGTAAATCAGTACTCATATTTCTAACTCCAATAAAAATCTTACAGTTTTCCTTTACCTAACTTGGATTACTTTCACTCATAAACATAATTATTTGTTTCAATGATTATAGGCATATGTAATAGTTTTAAGCTTCATCATCAAACTACTTATTTACTATATCCTTTATATATGATAGTTTCATACTAAAATTATCATTAGTAACACTATGACTCCTTATGATATTACAGTATATACATTTTTTTAAAGATTTATTTTATTTATTTGAAGGACAGAGTTACAGAGAGAGGTAGAGACAGGGAAAGAGGTCTTCCATCCACTGGTTCACTCCCCAGATGGCCACAATGGCCGGAGCTGCGCTGATGCGAAGCCAGGAGCCAGGAGCTTCTTCCGAGTCTCCCACATGGGTGCAGGGGCCCAAGGAGTTGGGTCATCTTCTACTGCTATCCCAGGCCACAGCAGAGAGCTGGATCAGAAGAGGAGCAGCTGGGACTACAGCCGGCACCTATATGGGATGCCAGCACTTCAGGTCAGGGCGTTAACCTGCTGTGCCACAGCGTGGGCCCCTGGTATATACATTTGATTTTTATCCACTGTTCTTGGTTCATAACTCTCCCCTGTCACATACACACATACAAAGACAGGCCATAGAAATTAGAATTTCTCTTCCTTGGGGAGGGTGAGAGAAACCCTAGTGTTCCCCACTACTCTCTGACCCACCTTGTCTGGTAGGTGATGAGAATTTCCACAATTCAGCAGCCATCTTGCTCCCATCCTAGAGGAATAAATTCTGTCCAAAGGGGGCGCACAAACAGCTGAGACAGACAGGCCTTGCTGGGTTTTCCCACCTCATCTGTTGGCTATCACACCTATTCAATGGAGTCTCTGGGAGAGCTTCCAGGTAGCTGAACACGTGGTGGCTCCTGAATGGTGTCACACCCAGAGAGGGCATGGCAGATCCATGTCCCTTCTCCCACACCTCACCCTATCCCCACTTCACCTGAATCCTTTGTATCATCCTTTATGACAAATCTGTAAACAGAGGTCATTGTTTTCCTGAGTTCCGTGAGCCTCATGAGCAAGTGAATCAAACCCGAGGAGTGGGTTGGAGGAACCCAGATTTATAGGAGATTGGTCAGAAGCACAGATAACCCCACCTGGGGATTGTGACTGGCACCTGCAGTCGGGACGGGTGGGCAATCTCAGGGATTGAGTCCCCAACATGTAGGATCTAATACCATCTTCAGGTAAGCAGTGTCTGAACAGAATTGAACTACAGGACCCCCAGCGAGTGTCCACAGTGGAGCTGATTGCTTGACACCTGGAATCAAAAGTGATCAGATATTTTCACCGTGTATTATCCCCAGGGAGAGAGCAGCCTTCCCACGAGGGTGCCCCCGTTGCCTCTGGGTGCTGGGTTTCTGAGCACACGCATGCGCAGGTGAACACTGCCTTGAGACTACTGCACAGCACGGCCTAACTCCTCTCCCAGTTTAGATGTTGCATAGGGAAAGTGTACGTCTCAGAAACAATGACGTGTAACAGATGACTTTCATGGGACTGAGACATATTACAGTTTACATGTTTTAGTTGTCCATATCCATGAATGCTTTGATGAAAAACAAAGCTTTTATAATTGTAGAATTTTAAGAGTCACAAGATGGCACTCCATAGTGAAAATTGTTTATAGCAGTCAAAAGGGTTGTCTTGGTTAAAAGTGAGTTTTTAAAATAAAATAAAAATTTATAAATTCGCTGACCTTTTCCATAATGATAGATGGTTCTGAGTTGTATGTCAGCTAAGAGATTATTCTGAAACAACCAAATAACCCATAGATTTTTGTTTTAATACATTCAAGGTCATTTTACCACTGAATGAGAGCATGCTATGAAAATGAATATTTCAAAATGTTGTCATTATTTGTGTGCCTTTACTAAAAATTATGTAAGTCTGTCAGTGACAAAAAATAAGACCTTGGGAACAATTTACTATCATGTTTCAGTTTTTAGTTGAGCAATTCAGTGCATTTTACAACCATTTGTTAAAAAATATGAAAATGCAGCAGATTCTAATTAGTTTCATGGGACAAGTGATTCATATCAAGGATAATAAGATTATGGTAGCCAAATGTTCATAACCAGCTTGCATAATTTGTCAATTAGATTCCATTTCAATAATTTTTAGTAAGAAGAAAGGCTTTTATTTTGTTAATAAATCAATTAAGCCAAAGGTGTATTTTATCTCATTTTAAGATTTAATTTATATTTCTTGTATATTTGTGAGTGTATTCATAGATATAATTTATGAGTATATATAAAAACAACTGAACACAAACTGGAGATGCAGACATAAAATCCTTGTTTTCTGAAAGCACACAATCTCTGATGTTGGAAGACCATCTCTCTCTCACTTCTAACTGCGTCATCTTACAAAACTGCCAACTCACACACACAGTGGTGTTCCAAATGCACCTGGTACATTTTCTTTTAGGAAACAGATGAGAAATATTGGGGAAAGGACTAAAATCTGGTTGTTAGGCAAGCACAACAAATTAGGAGAATTCATAAGATGCAGGAAGCAATGAAAACTTTCATTATTTTCCTCTTTTCTGCTATTTTCTTCAGATGCATATAAATCAAAAGATGACCCCTCCTATATAGCCGTTACTAGAACAGTTGTCATGTTGTAGATCCATCAGTACATTATTCGGTCTAGGGTAAAGAGGTGGTGGAAACATGTGCTGATAGTTATTGATAGCCACAGTTCTCTCCTCTGGCATACTCTGTGGGTTAGTAACTCCAGGAGCACAAGGACCCCATCTGCCACGCTTACTCCCTTACTTCCAGTACAGTGAATGGCACAGGGCAGGTAGCTCAATAAATGTTTATTGAACTGAATTGCTCTGGAGAGATCTTATTTTCTTTGGTTAATCAAAGTTACAGGTGTCTAATCTTCAAAATGTGGTTTTCCTTTAGCAAGTCAGTGACCCTTTTTTATTTCTTCCTTCCTTTCTCTTCCAACTCTTCTTCCTTCTTTTAATATCTGGGGAGTTTCAGTAACAGAGGCATGACTATTGTCAGTGTTTCCCTGTCTAGTTAGAAAAAAATCTTGTTTCTGTGCTTTCTGAAGCCTAAGCCCTGGACAGTGGAGAATGCCTGATGAAACAAGAGCCTGATCTACAAACCCAAATGTCAACCTCTGATTGTTGGCATGAGATTTCTAAGTTGGTGGGTGTGATGGGCCTTCTGCACTGCTCTTTGGTAGCTGATTGCACTTAAATCAGCAGCTCTTAAATTAAGTGAGTAACCACACTGGAAGTGACAAAGTCTTTTCTAGGAAATACTGGTTCTGTTTCTGTTTCTAGTATATTTCCATTTCTTGAAATGTCAATTCGGGTTTACTGTTGATACTAAACATGCTGAAAAAACTCACACCATTCTATGAATAGCAGATGTGTTATGCTTACAATGTCACTTGTGAGGCTAAATATTAAGAAGTGGTGCCAACACTGTGAGCTTAGATCATCAGACGAATGCTGCCACCATTAAATTGATAAGATTTTCACATAATTTTAACCTATTTCCTATGATGAGGGAGAATTTAACATTCATGGTTTATCCCTGCTGCATCCTCACTTTCTTAAAGTTTAATTTCTAACAGTTTTAGCTCATTTATCACTTTTGCTCATCTTCCCAAAGAGTTAAATGTATAGGATACCAATGAAACTTCTAAATATACGTAGTGTCAGATGTCAAAAGGTTTGCTAAAAAATAGCACAATGCAAGATTCTTTGATTATGATAATCAAAAAGCACAGACATTTAGAGATGAAATGCCATGTCTGGAGAAGAGCAATGCATTTTCCAGAAGTTGTTAGGCTGCCGGAGGCCTTGCTAAATGACAAAGCTAAAGAGTATAGTGAGAGACATGAGATAAATTTAAAACACTGATAAATGCAGAGGCCTACCCAAAATAAATTTGGTTCACAAACTGC